TAGAATTGGCTATATTAATTTTAACTTTCTGATTTTGGTTGTTTACATCTCTAGAGGTGTAACTCAAATGACAATTAATCCTACTTTGCAGATGCTGAAGTTAAATGATCAAGAGTTCCTTGGTGAAGCCAGTAGTTATCTCTCTGAGGTGAGTTGATTCTATCTGTGTTAGGTCCTTTGAATATATAATAACAATGTGGGACAGCACATGTTCTAAAGATTTTGCCTTCAGGGGTGATTTTAGCCGTGAGTTGAAGATGGAGAAGAGCATTTATAGTTTTTTATACTCTCTTTTAAATCTCTGATATCAAAGCTAATTTTCTCTGTATTTTGACTGGTAGCATGTCTAATAATCTACCTCACATAAGTTTAATGCCTCCTGTATTATTCCAGTAATACGGTTTTAGTTCCTACTCAACTTGTTTTTATTTGCTTCTACAAACTTCAAATTTATTTGAATGTTTAAAAATATATTGGAATACTGTTGAGAGTTTGCTTTTGTTTTTAGAAGGGGAGTTTTATACCTGCTTGTAACTTCTCATTTCTCGATCCATGTGTATATGAAAACATATTGTGACTTCTGTGTTAAAGGAAGGTTTTGGTTGAAGGATGATTAGTCCATTATTTGTTATTTGTGTCAACTGTTAACACACCCTGGGTTCTGCTTTATCTTAATTATCTATGGTTCTTGGCAATGTTGTTTCAATTGGCATTGTTGTGTTCTGAATTTCAATTTAAATTTTGTGTTGTGTAACAGTTTTCCCTTTCTGCCTTTGACAGATTGTTACTAAACAAAATCAAAGTTTGACCTTGAATCTTCATCATAGAGATGGACGGAGTTCAAAAAACTTGGGGACACTTACTGTCCATGCAGAGGAAACTGTTGCTTCGAGGAATGCAGTGGAGATGACATTTCGTTGTTCTCATCTGGAGAACAAGGATCTATTTTCCAGAAGTGTAGGTGTTTCCAAAGAAAAACAGAGGAAATGAAAAATAGTTGTTCTAGTGTTTGGTGTACCTTCAGACTTCTTTTCCCGAAGTGCTCATATTTTATCTTTTTCAGGATCCTTTCTTGAGAATCTCTAGAGCTATCGAATCTGGAGGTTCTGTTCCAATTTGCAAGACAGAAGTCGTGAACAACAACTTGAGTCCAGTTTGGAAACCTGTATGTCTAACGACGCAGCAATATGGGAGCAAGGTAACTTGCCAAACTTGCATATCTTTCAGATGGCAATTTTATTTATTTATTTCTCAGTGTAATTTTATCATATTTGATCTCTTACATTTCTATTTATAAGCATCTACCCAGCTGTCATGAGGTAGACCTTCTTGAGTGTTTTGCATTTAAAATTGAACTTGTAATATTAAATGTATAAATTATTTATGCAGAAAGTTACGGGGCAAAATTGGAGTTTATCACTAAAAGTTTAGGACTCACAATTGATGTCCAATGTCATGTCATTGTTCAGCTATCCCGAACCCTCAATTGTTTTTCAATATGTTTCTCTTTTGCAGGAAAACCCATTGGTTATTGAGTGCTTTGATTTTAATAGCGATGGTAATCATATATTTATCGGGTATGTAGAATCAATTTGTACGTTTTTAGGTGTTTCTAGTTAAGATTTCATTTCTGATCCCTATTCTGGAAAGTTCGATGTTTAATTCCTAGTTTCTTTCCTACAAAATTTAGGATTTCATTTTTTCCCTTCCCGTTCTGAGTAGTATTTTCTTCAAACAGAAAACTACATAAATCTGTGGCAGAACTGATAAGTCTTCACCAAAATAAAACTGGTGCAAATTTCATTTCCCCACCTTCTGGATTTCGGCATCATGAAAAGGTTTCTAATTCTCCTAGTTAAGCCATGAGTACTTCCAGAGGCTTTAGCTAATTCTGGCACATCTGACCTTCTATCCTTAATTACTTATAGGTTCTCAAAGGTCAACTTTTTGTGGATGGCTTAATTGAGAAACAACTTTACAGCTTCCTTGATTACATTTCCAGTGGTTTTGAGCTTAATTTCATGGTTGCTGTTGATTTTACTGGTAGCTGGCTCTCCCAATCTTACATTTTTGTCCTGCAATTACATTGTATTTAGAGGTTCTATATTAATTCATATGGGTTTTTATTTGTCTAGCTTCGAACGGAAATCCTAGAAGTCCAGATTCTTTACATTACATTAATCCTTCTGGCCAGTTAAATGCCTACCAGCAGGTAAGCATGTGGAACACTTTAATTGAAGAACTGTCTTATTTCCAGCATCTTCGATTCTTCCAAAGAAAATATAATATCCTTTTGATTGGTGACCATATCTTAAATACCTTGTTGGATGCAGACATCAGTGACAAAAAGTTTACTCAAATGAGATAAACAAGGTTTCAAAGACCAAAGATGTCACAATTAGTTTCTTGATTCTATTATGTTGGAATACTTTCTTATCCAAAAATTCTTACCACAAAAATTTCCTCATTTTTTTTAGTATCAAATAGCAATTGAATAATTATTACTTCACTTAAAATCGGGATTTAAATGATAATACTGACAAAATGTCATTTAGGCTATTATGGAGGTTGGGGAGGTCATTCAATTCTATGATTCAGACAAACGCTTTCCTGCTTGGGGCTTTGGTGGAAAATCATATGAAGGCTCGGTATCTCACTGTTTCAACTTGAATGGAAGTCCCATTGGTTTCGAGGTAACAATCTTTGCTCGAGCAATGTTATTTTCTGAAAAATTAACCTTTCTATCATCATGTGCTTGTTTGGGTTTCATTGCATTGGAATTATAATGAGTAATGGGTTCCCTGAAATGTCTAGATAATAAGTGGGTGGTAGTTGTGAATGTGTGGTTCAAATTAATGTTTTGACTTTGACTTCAAATTATAAGGAGATCATAATGAAATCCAAACAAGCATTGCCTATTATTACTTAACCGGAATCAGTTACAGAAGAATTTAAACATTTTGATATTTTTGTAATCGTGTATTAGTTTGTTAATTGTTTTAAACTGGAGAAGAATTAGAGGTTTCTGAAAACTATAAACAAGGCATGTAATTGTCTATATTTCTTTTGGTAGGCTAAAAGACACAGCATGGATTTTTCAGATACATGTAATAAATTTATATAAAATTCTCGTTTTTGTTTTTTCAGGTTGAAGGTGTAGAAGGTATCATGGCTGCTTATGCACGTGCTTTGCAAAATGTTACTCTTGCTGGACCCACACTATTTGGTCAAGTCATAAAAAAGGCTGCAGATATTGCTGGCAACTCCATCTCTGACAATCATGCCAAGTATTATGTCCTGTTGATTATAACTGTATGTCTTGAACAACTTGTGCTTGCATTCTTCATGCCCGATTTTATTATTTGGATAAAAACATTGTTAATCATTCCATTTACAGGATAGTTTCATTTTGGTCTTTTTGGTGTCAAGCCAGTCACTGAATTTGTTTCAGTTTACGAATTTGTCTATCTCTGTCAGCCGAGTTAGTGGAAATGCCAAGTAGCTAGCAGAAAATATGACATTATGTTAATAATCCTCAAGTGAATTGTTTATATCGTCTAGCTGGGCAAAATACACATAGTTCGAATGGTGTTCTTTCAACATGCATTTTTGAAAGAAACAATAAGAGGAAAAATAAATGTTTGACAGATTTTTCTTAGCTAGACAATAAAATAAATGCACTAACAGATTTTCTATGCCACAACGTATTCTTTTTTAGCCATATCAGTATTTTTGTTAATTCAGCAGCCATAGATGTGTTTAAACCGAAAAGAAATTGAAGTGCTGTGACTAATTTGAGAAAAAAAGTGTACGATGCTATAATTTGACTAGCAATGTTTTAAACCTTGTGTCATTTCTCTCTAGTGTAATTAACTTCTAAATTTGTAGGATGGAGTCCTCACCGATCTTCAAGAAACTATAGATTCCCTGGTCAGGGCATCTGACTTGCCACTGTCAATCCTTATTGTTGGAGTTGGTGGTGCAGATTTTACACAAATGGAGGTATATTCTTTGTTTTATTTATCAAAGCAAGAAATTTCTTGAAGATGGAATATTTTTGGTTTTTAAGTTCCTAGTGGATCTCATGCTTAAGTTCTGCAATACAGATCCTTGACGCTGATAATGGACGTCGATTAGAGAGTTCTACTGGAAGGATAGCTACACGAGACATAGTTCAGTTTGTTCCAATGCGTGAAGTGCATGGTCAGTGCCTTTAATCAGATATGACCATTTGGATGATGGAAATTATTTAGTACCTTTGGCCCCTTTTCATGTTAATATGTTGGTTCAGCCCAGGATTCAGATTGCAGATACCTTAAATTATTCTTCGAAGACTTCATCGTAAGATGTATAAATAACTTCGCATGCATTTTTTGCTTAATGGATATAAGAAATGCTCTAGATTAATGGCACAGAACTGGAGCAATCACAGAGATTATGTGTGGTGTGTTTTATTGGACCGGGCTTGACTCGACTAGACAATAGATAAAATTTTAGTTGGTTTCTCTTTTCTTCTCTGGTACTATCCAATGTTTAAGGTCCATCTTACCTGTCACACACAGTTAGTGTAAACTAGTGCAATCTTTATCTTTTTGTTTGTGTGATTTTCTTTTCCATCTTAAAGACATCTCAGCCGGACATTTTTTTCATCCTTTGCAGGTGGACAAATCTCAGTGGTTCAAGCTTTACTGGAAGAGCTACCGGGGCAGTTTCTGACTTACGTGCGCAGTCGAGATATTGTACCTCTTAATGTGACCCAAAGTCATGCTGAAGCGCTCACACAACTCAGGGTTTAATCCATCACTGGAGTTTCTAAAAGAGTTAGCTGGTGATTGGCATGCATAGTCTGGGTTGCTTTTCCCAGTACGAAGCAGTATTTGTGAAAAACAGAAGTTAAATTTAGTATGAAAATGTGAAATTCTTTATGTTGGGTCATCTTCTGCTTACCATCTATAAACTCCATTCTCCTGTGAGATTAGAAGCTTAAAATGCAACTGATTACATAATATCATTAAGCAGATAATGATTATTAAGAGGAATTTTTAAAATAACCTTTTAAAGATTGTTTTATAAGAGCATCTCCAATAGATTCTCTATTTTTAAAGAACATATTTTATCATTTGAAGAACGCCTATAAATTTAGAGAATTAAAATTTTGAAGTATTGCAACAAGCTCTTTATATTTAGCACTTATTTTACTACTCCCAAAAAATATTTATTATTTTTGTTTATCTTTTATTTTAATTAGCTTTTCTTTAAATTATTTATAACAAAAGGATGTAACTTTTAACTTTGTGAAACTTACATAAATTAATATCAAAGTAAGCCTGACTCTTCAAATTTGAAGATCCAAACCCACTTTCTAAATTAAAATGTTAATTTATAGAGTCTCTTGGAACATCATTTTAAATATCGACTTTTTAAAATAGAGAGTATTTCATATTTAAAAGTCTCTTGTAGAACTCTAAGTCGAAAGACTAATTTAACCAGCTCTCCGACCTTGAAATGTTGAAAAAAAAGGATGAATTATCTTCAAATGCTGCTACAATTTTTTCCTGGCTTCTGGGTCATTTTTTCAAAATTACATCGCAAGCAGGTAAATTTAATTGATTATTTATTGAAAGATTAAACTTAAAATAGTTGTTTAGAGTATCTCTAAAAGACTCTTTATTTTTAAAAAGTATTTGATCATTAAAAAGAGTTTTTTTTTTTTTTAATTTAAAGTGTGAATTTTTTTTATATCTTCTATATATTAAAAGTGGTTATGTAACGGAATTTCTTGTTTTTAACGGAAAAATTAACGGAATTTTTTGTTTTAACGGAATATGTAACGGAATTTCTTATTTTAAACAGGCAGCTGCACCTTCCTTCAGTGTGTTTATCATAACTTTGTATTCCGATGTCATATTGAGGCGATTCAAAATGCGTTGGAAAGCTAACTCATCTGGCTACAACTTTGATTCAGACATCATTCTCCAATTCGATCACTTTCTATGCCAAAAATAGGTCTCAATATGAGATTAAAATATCGGAGCATAACTTTTCGGTTGAAAATTGATTTGTGATTATCTTTTGACTAAATTTGATTCCATTGACGTCTTTCTTTATCCAATTGACTCCGAACACTCTCAAATCTTCATCGTGAGGTTCGGCACAACTTTTAAGTATTTACATTTTAGTCCCCAAACCTTGGATTCCGTACAATTTAGTCATTTCTCCAAATTTGTCAACTTTTGTTTATTTTCTTCGATCTCACCAACTTACATCACAACGTCAAAATCACACATCTAATTATTTAACAATTACATAAACATTACATGATTAATTATTTAATTAATCAAAAAAATTACATCTTTATTAATAACAAATTAATTATTAAACAAAACTATTAAATATAAATTAGGCAAACATGCATTGCACGTTGCTTGCACCTAGTACTCAAATAAATTCTTAGTAATGCCCCCATTTTTCTTTTTAATTAGTTAATGCATTGTTTGACAAAACAAATTCATACCACTAATTCTCAACGGATCCAATCCAAGGGCCTTGTTTATTTCGACTTAGTGCTATTTAAGCAACTCTTATTAAAGTGTTCCATCACCCGGATCAATGTACTTGTCTTGTGAAAATTTTCATGTCACTTCATTTTCTTCAATTAAGGTTCAAACCTATTGAAGTCTGACTCAATTTTATATCATCGCCACCAAAAGTTATTTGGCACATAACCAACGTATGCCTTAGAGAGAGGGATTTTAACTTTCGTGCCATCTATGACAATCCTTTATTTTTTTTTTTTCAAATCATAAATTTCTTGAATTTCACCGGTATTAGGGAGCAGTGGAATTTTCTCTGGTGCGAAATTTTGAGCTCGTCTATTGCTTTCCTCCTCCAATTTTAAAATCTCACATATATCACTAGATATTACAATTTTTATAAGGTCAAATGCCTTTATTCAATATTTTCAACAAATGCCATCTAACTATTGTATAAGTTCCTTGCTTTACTTCCACTACCAACACTAGGAGTATTTGAATAGGCCACATTATCAACAACAATCCAATCTACATTTAGAAGTTACAATAATTAACTAAACTTTTTGAATGCTCGCTATTACATCTCATCCTATGATGCTCTTATTATTGGTCACGTAGCATCAAACTAGGAAAAGTAAAAATTCACACAAGGTCAGCACTCCACATTATTCGCTTACCTAGATTCAGGGGTGGACGAAGACATTTTGAGTTAGGGGGTGCAATCAAATCCTGTGCAAATTGAATACCTTATTCTTGATTTTTGAATGATTCATACTTGACTCGAGATAATGCAAATTTACATTTAAAAAACATTTCTTTATTAATATTAGGCTAATCATTTTCATCAATTTGATTTCGAAAGATCATTTTATTAATGTTTTGTTTATCACCAGAAAATACATATTTACATTTAAAATTTTGATAATGTATTTGATACAAATTCAATCAAATAAACACAATTCGTTAAATATAAGTCAAATTGGATATAAAAAAAATGTCAGAAAAGTTTATATTTTTAATTAGTGTATTTTCATGGGACGGAGTTGGTAATTGCTTGATTTCAGGAAACATTGGGATCGATGAAGCGCCTTTTGCTCCCCAACACTGGTTTTGCGTTTTCCCAGCCATAATTCTAGACATTCATCGCTAATCATTATATACATTCAACTCTCTTTATGTTTCAAAATTAGTGGCTTTAGGAGTCAAGTCATCAACTGTGAATTAAAATATGGATAAATCCCTATGTACATGGATAGTTTCACAGGCCCCTCACAAGGGGACAGCCCCACATGTATTAAAAAAAAAAAAAAAATTTGCACGGACCCCACCAAGTGTGTTATATGTAAAATCCCTATAAAAAAAATTTCTGTAGCCCAAGCAAGCATTGTTCTTAAAATATACCATCAGAATACTACTCTATATAAAAATGAATTGCGGTCTGTTATCTTCATTGACATATAGGTTACCTGCCCTATTAATTGCATTCATTTTATTATAGTATCTCACCTGATTTGTCATGAATTTTTTTGATCTTTTATACTGTGAATTTTTAATAGAAAGTTTGTATTCTCTATTTTAAAAAGTCAATTCTAAAAATTATTAAATTAACATTTTAATTTTGAGAGTGAGTCAAACTCACACTCTAATTAAATGCATTCAAATTATTTTAATTTTCAATGGAGAAAATAATATACTCAATCCGTCTTAATTTATATGAGTTGTTTTTGTTTTTCACTCTAATTAAGAAATTTCATTTAATGTTACTGAAAAAAATAATTTTTTCAAAGAATTTTCCTAATTTACCTTTATCTAATTATCAACAATTAGTGGTAGGATTTAAAAATAATCGTCGGAAATACAGTGAACCACTTAAGCTCTCCTCCCTCTGAGAATTGTGTGTATGTATTTGAATGATTTCAAAGAGTAAAAAAATTAAAATTTGTACAATTTTAAGATTAAGTGGTGGAAAATTGGTTATAACTAAGTAAATTAAATAATGACATATTAGTAAACGAACAAAACAAATACATTCTCAATAAAGAAATGAGACTATAATTTGAGACAAGAAAATAACGAAAATCATCCTATATAAATGAGACGGGGGGAGTAATAATTTTGAAGGAAGCTAATGAAAAAAAAAGATAGAGAAAAATATTAAGTATTTTTTTGGGAATAGTAAAATTAAATGTTAAATATAAAGAGCTTGTTGGAATACTTAAAAATTTTTGCTCTCTAAATTTATAAATATTCTTTAAATTGTAGAATATTCTCTTTAAAATTTGAGAATCTCTTAGACATGTTCTAAAGGCGTTAAGCCCCTCTTTGTTGTATTTACTTCTCTATATATTATTCAAAGTCGAAAAAATGACAAACCTCAGCTACACTTTGTAAGTATTATGTCTTACGTCCAATCCGCTTTGAATATAGACACTTTAATATATAATTGATACATTTCATTTATAGCAGGTTTATTATTTAATTGAATTAATATTCTAATAAATTAAGTAATAGAATTCGTATATTTAAGTTTTGGTAATTTGTTAATCACAATGGATTGTGATCGTGAAATACAAATTTTATATGACTGAATCTTAAATCATTAGTGGTCATAAGTAATAACGACATACGAATATCGTTATTATAGATAAACCATCATATGTGACATTTTTTAATTGATTTCACAAGTTAAAGTGTGTGACATTTAAATGAATATGCGAATGTTATGTTATAAAAAACAATGAAGACCCGCTATGTAGATTTCACATAGTAATTGTGTTAGTGGTTAATTTCTAACGTTCAATAGTGAAATTGATCATTCGACTTGAGATAAACTTAGTGCTTTATATGAGATGACAGTCATATTTTGATGATATTGGATGTTGTTTTGCTAAGGGATTCTAATACGATATCATTCGTGTATGTCAAGAATTATAAGAAAATTGTGAATGATCAATATGGGATACGTCACTCTTAGATAATAAGATATTATGATCTACATTTCATTCAGTTAAATTGATAACGAAATTCTTGGCCAAAGTTGGAAAAATGACAAACCTCCACTGCACTCGTGATTCACGAGTTACTTTCTTTTGACACTCCAATTCAAACAAAAAAGCCAAGATTTTTTTTTTACCACATTTTTATCCCTTCTGAAGAAAATACAGACTAATAGCATAATTAATAAGCTCAAAATATTCATATCAATCGATAAAATACATTTTTTCCTTTCTCAATCATTTTCTTTACTGTTCATAATTTCAAATGATATAGGTAGGGACATGTTTGACAATTGATAACTTTAACGTTTGAATAGAATTTCATACTAATCTATCCTCTATTCCCAAATTTGGTATTTATTTCGTAGACAAGTTGAATATCTACTGGAATTACAAGTGAATGATGGGAGAAAAAAGCAAGATTCTGATAATTGGAGCTACTGGTTATGTCGGTAAATTTATCGTTGAGGCGAGTATAAAACTTGGACATCCAACCTTTGCTATGGTTAGAGAAAGCTCAGCCTCAGATCCTCAGAAATCAGAAGTCATACAGAATTTCAACAAATTGGGAGTTTCAATAGTTTATGTAAGTAATTATTCTGATATTAATCCGAATATCCATCTTTTTATTCTCAAAAGTTATGTTTTGAGTTGGTGATGGAATTGAAGGGAGATCTCTATAATCACGAAAGCTTAGTCAACGCGATGGAGCAAGTCGATGTTGTGATATCTACTGTTGGAGGAGATGTAGTGCCTGATCAGGTCAAGATAATTGCAGCCATCAAAGAAGTTGGAACTGTCAAGGCAAGAAACTATAAATAGTTATATACTTTTCTTAGTTTTTCGATAAATCGTCAATTTTTTTCTCTTTTTGTTTGTCTGGAAGTCTTGCTGTGGTGTTATCGAAATGTAAAAGAGGTTTGGGTTTTCAGAGATTTCTGCCTTCAGAGTTCGGAGGCGATGTGGATCATATGACAGCAGTCGAGCCAGCATCAAGCCTTTTCGGAGAAAAAGTTAAAATCCGAAGGATAATCGAATCAGAAGGAATTCCATACACCTGTGTAGTTTCTAATGGGTTTGCTGGCTACTTCTTGCCGAGATTAGGACAGTTAAATGCTACGGTTCCTCCTAGACAAAAAGCTGTCATTTTAGGGGATGGGAATGTTAAAGGTAATATTCCATTACACTCGGTGGGTAAAAACGTCAAGCTTAGTATTATTAACAATAAATTTTGAGTGCACTAAATTAGTTTTTCAATTAACCTTCGGTCTAAAATCATGTGTTTCCGTTGCTAGCAATTTTTGTCAAGGAGGACGATATAGCAACGTACACTATCAAAGCCGTGGATGATCCAAGGACATTGAATAAGACGCTTCACATGATCCCTCCCGCTAATGTATTGTCCTTCAATGAGCTAGTTTCGATGTGGGAGAATAAGATTGGACAGACCCTAGAAAAAACGTATATATTAGAGGAAGAACTTCTCAAGAATATCCTAGGTAAGTTCTAACCATTATATTATTGTCCACCTCTATCTAGTGGTGTCAACACGTTGCCCAGACCAAAAGCCTGTGCAAGCGTAGGACCCATTCCACTGGCCAAAAAAATTTCAACATGCGCCGTGGCCTAGGTCGTCAGAAAATTCGAGCTAGCCCTATTTGCTGAATAGATCGGCCCAATCTAATTGACATCACTACTACTAGTACTCGCAACTCATTTCCCCTCGGCTCCAAGAAAAGAAAAGAAAAGAAAAAATAAATATGTTGGCGACGTAAAGTTTTATTTTGTTATGCAGATTCTCCAATGCCTTTAAAAGTCCTTTTAGCCGTTTGCCACGCTATCTTTGTGAATGGATTGGCATTGAACTCGGGGAATGATGCTTCTTTTGGTGTTGAGGCTTCTGAAATGTATCCAGAGGTGAAATATACGACTGTTGATGAATATCTTGACCAATTCATCTAAAACAACTTCGTTATTTTGCTTTTATGATTTAATTTTTGACATCAAATTGATTTTACAGCAAACTTAGAGTTTGAGGGAGTGTTACTGATATGTAATTTCTAATAATCGTAAAGGGTAATTGACACAAAATACCCCTGACATGTGCCACTATTGTGGGATACATCCATATCCTTTTATTTTGATGCAAAATCCCTTTAGATGACATTTTCTGTGCGAAATATAACATTTTCTTTAGTTTTCTCAATAAAACTTTGTGAAATGCTATACTCTTTAGATAAAACAAAAAGAAAAGAAGAAAAAAAAAATAAAGAATTAATTCTAACTGTAGTTTCAATTTTTTTTAAATGCAAACGAGACTCAAATAAATAATTAAAATTTTAAATGGACATACAAATGGACGACAACAATATCATCAATTATATTATTAACGATTCTTTGATCGCCAATGGAAAATTCAAGGCTTCATTGAGAAATTTGAAAATAATATTGTATTCTGGAAAGAAAATGTCATCTAAGAGGGTTTTGTGCCAAAATGAGATGATAGGGATATATGCTACAATAGATGCAAATGTTAGGGATGTTTTGTGCTAATTACTCTTAGCATTAATGATCCTAGCTATCAATTGAATTTTTTACACAATTTTTTCTTAATGCTTCCATAATTATATGATTTGTTAATTCTATAGATTATTTCAATTTGACAATTATCGACGAACGTCTCGTTTTGACTATAGCTACTCTAATTTTATGTTAGAATGTTTCCTACTTCAAATACACTAGAATGTAGTGCCGCCAATCGAGCCGAGGGGCTCATCGGCTTGGCCGCTCGGCTCGTGAAAAAATAAGCCATGAGCTGCTCGGGCTCGTCAAAAGACGAGCTCAAGCGGAGCTAGCTGGCTGGCTCGCTAGGCGAGCACTCACCGAGCGAGCCAGGCTCATGGCTTGCCAAAAAAAAAAGTTCAGTGACCAGAACGATCACTGAACAAAATTCAGTGACCGCTTCGGTCACTGATTTATATTTTTTTTCAATTCCATTTTTTCCTATAAATACCCTTCCATTAATCCATTTTTTCCACCCAACTATCAATTTCTCATTCTCTACTCTCTAAATTTCTAATATCTTGATTATCTTCTACATTTTACGTTATTGAGTTATATTCTTGATTTTACAATCTATTTTCTACATTACTACATAATCTACATTCATTTCTCAATTTTATTTCAACATTCAATTTCAATTATTCAATATCAATTATCTCATTACAAATTTTCAATTCACAAATGGATCCACACTCATTTGTTGAAAACTTGTTTAGTGTCGGAGGCAAATCACCTGTTCGCCCCCACGGTCAATTTCGGAATGAATTCGTCGGTCTAAATGAATTATATATTCCAGAAAATATTTGGAATTTCGATGCTCTTAGAAGTAGTAATCCAATTGATTTGGATGACGTTGATGTTTTGGAGATGGAACGGGATGATGGACCTGTATTAGATATTCTCGATGCAAGAGAGAAGAGAAAAGGGAAAAAACAGGAAAATGTTGTGACCATTTTAAATTGTTTCAAACTGGTCGTGTGGTCGATGGACTTCCAGAATCCAAAGCAGTATGTAAATACTGTCAACAACGATTGACATGGAATAAAGGCATTGGTATAACCCACCTCAAACGTCATTACAAAACATGTGTGGCCAAACATGAGTTTGGAATCACCCACCTCAACCGTCATTACAAAACATGTGTGGCCAAACATGAGTTTCTTCTTGCTGGTCAAACACAAATATAATTGGGTAGTCCAGGCACCGGTGCTACTACTACGTCACTTTGTATGTGGATGTATTCGGAGGAGAAATCTCGAACGGGAATGGTGAAGTTCGTTGCCGGAACTCAGTTGCCACCAGCAATAGCGGACAACTAACATTTTGTTTCCTACGTGAATGAATATCTTCAATTGAGGTACTTTGGGGTAAGTCGAAATACTCTTCAATCTGATACAATAGAATATTTCCTCCAGTCAAAGAAACTATTGATTGCAAATTTAGAAAAATATTGGGGTGTGATATCTTTAACTTCGGCTATATGGAAATGAATTAATAAAAGATGTTATATAACTGCAACTGCACACTACGTAGACCCACTGGTGTATGCATAAAAAAAATTATAGCTTTTAAAATTATTGAATTCCCTCATAACGCTAACAACATATTTAATGCTATTATGAATCACATCATCAAATGGGAATTAAGCACTTCAACCGGTAAACTTGAGTTCTAGAACTAACACTATGAGTGCCTCTGCTAGCAGCTGTTCTAAAACCATCATTGCTGCTTTGTTTAAGTAAGTGGAAAGCAAATGCACAATGCTTATACTCACATGTCAAAAGATATAAGTAATAACCCAAGTGAAGACCATAACAAAAGAAGGGATACCTAGAATGTTCAATGTACCTGTTGGCTGGGTGGAAAATCAAAACCTACAAAGAGGAATAACGTATTTATGGGTTCTAAAAAGGGAACGTGAGCCGTTAAATTACATATTTAAACAAATTGCAACCATCAAAATTATCCAGGAAATCATGGCCATTAGATATTAAGGGCGCCTAATTAAAAATTCAAAAGGAATGGGCACGATTATATGTAACTGACACACGCATTAAATGTGCGCTGGACACTAACCAAGAAAGGTACAAATAGGTGCTGTAGCTCACACAAACAATTGCTACAATCATAGCATGTCCCCTCAATATAGCTCACTTCACCCAATTGGGAGCAATCAATGATAAGCTCGCATATTAATAGAAATACAATAAATTGGACTTCGAGGACTATTTGTCAAACCCTCGAAATACAGTCCACGATGGGAGCAAAAATATAGAAGGTTCGCACAAAGTAAGTGAACCCCCTTACCATCCAGATTGGCTGCAGGCTATTAATAATATAAACGTGGGCCAATGAGTAAAATGTGATATTATAACATAATCAATTACGAGTTAGCCAATAAAAAGTCGCCAACTGTCATCTCTCCCAAAAGGATCATATTACCCTAAGACTTGTAGGGAAATCTATAAATATCTCCACTTTTGAAGAGAAAAGCATGTAATTCAAATATCTCCCTCTCAAATAGTCATCTTCCTTCTTACTTCAAGTTTGAGTATCAAAACTAGTTAGTTTAGGAGATGAAAATTCTGACTAGGTAAGAGGATTTGCCGATCTGAATTTCTATCGTCAACACCAATCAAGAATGCTATTTATGAGTTCCAACGTTTTTTGCTTTTTAGTTTGTATTGAAAATTGAGACAAATTTCTTGATTTGCTCATAGGATCCTTGTTCAAAAAAATTATTTGAAAGCTTGGGGCTCTTTTTTGTAAGTGGTATACCTACACCCTGCATGCACACTCACTATATCTAATCTAAATACATAAAAGTTTCAGTTGATAGCTTGTCCAAAAAGCCTTATGTCTCTACTAAATACAGTTGTTTGAGGCTGAACAATAACAAGCCAATCGCTCGAATGTTTCCCTAACCCAACCTTGGAACAGACCGGAGGGACCACATCATGGGAATGTCTGCACAAGACAACTTATCTTCTTTTGTCCCTCAAAGCAAAGTAGAGGTGAAAAATAACAACAAAAAAATTCATGTGAAAAACTTTAAAATTGGAGAAAAATCATAAACTGTCAGAGATATTCCACTTGACACTTCCTATACCCCAAGCAGAATCCAAAATAAAACACGAAGTCTCACCTCAAGATAGTCCATGACTATCTTAAAAATTGGGATAAATAATACAATAAGGGAAGACTTTATTCAAGGTATACAACCTCAGTGTATTCTAATTTTTAATTTTTAAATGTGGAATTCTAAATAGTCTCGTTACAATTATAAACTAAAAATCATATTCTATGTGGAATAGACAAATACACAATTAATTTGGGAAGAATTTTCTTGGCCGATGTTAACTATAACGTAAAACAATATAATAAACAAGATTTTATATTATACTGTTTCTATTAAATATTAATTAAAACAAGCATAAGCATATTGATTGTTTATAAACTAGGAAATTAATTGAATAAAGCTATTTACGAATAATAATTTGCAGAAATTTCAGCTTTCTAGTTAAGAAGCCTCTAAAACCCATTGAAGACAGCTCGTAGATGGTAGATTTGCGTTATCATTGAGGTAGGATTAAATAATTCCGTTAAGCTCTGAGTGTTTAGTTTAAAAAGGATAAATTATTTTTTGATTACAAATATATATATATGGGGCCATTCATCCTTAATTATTTGCTTTGAAGTCGTCACAGGCTCCAAAAGTCTTCAAATGAAAAGTCATGTCTTGGATCTAGACGGATTGAAGTACTTGTTCAAAGATTGACTAAACTCAGCAGTCACTTTCTTCTGTTAATAATGCCAAGCCATGGAAAATGGGACAACTTTAAAAGTTTTTCTGACTAAAAAATGGCTTGAATCAAACCGCAATTATTGACGACGTGGCTTAACAAATGCCACTCTATGATTTGTATATAAACCACTTGGTTTTAGTCCATCTATACGTGGCCATTGTTCTTCACTACTTTTTCCCAGAAATAAAATTCTAAGATGGCAGAGAAAAGCAAGATTCTGATAATTGGAGCAACTGGTTACATCGGAAAATTCATTGTGGAGGCAAGTTCAAAACATGGACATCCAACCTTTGTTTTGGTTAGAGAAACCACAGCTTCAGATCCTAAAAAATCAGAAATCATACAGAATTTCAAGAACTTGGGTGTTTCATTTGTATATGTAAGTAATTATTAATTCGAATGGCTTTGTTATAGTTTTTCATACAGAATGTTAATCTTTTTATGCTCTTTGTTCTTGATGAAATTACAGGGGGATATCTATAATCACGAAAGCTTAGTCAACGCGATCAAACAAGTCGATGTGGTGATATCTGCTGTTGGAGCAACTGCAATTGCTGATCAGGTCAAGATTATTGCAGCCATCAAAGAAGTTGGTACTATCAAGGCAAGTAATTGTAATTATTCGATTCAATCCAACATCGAATAAAGATGGAAATATAGACCAACTAATAAGATTTTTAATTACTCATCTTAATAAATTAAGATTGACCTTTTAAGATGGAACCACAAATCTTAATATAATATACTGTTATCGAAATGTAAAAAAGGTCGGTTTTTCAGAGATTTCTGCCTTCGGAATTTGGAGGTGATGTGGATAGCATGAAGGCAGTCGAGCCAGCAGCAAGCCTGTTTAGAGAGAAAGTTAAACTCCGGAGGATCATCGAATCAGAAGGAATCCCATATACTTATGTAGTTTCTAATGGCTTTGCTGGCTACTTCTTGCCTACGATAGGACAGTTAGATGCCACAGCTCCTCCTAGAGAAAAAGTTGTCATCTTAGGGGATGGGAATCGTAAAGGTAATCCATTATAGCATTTCAATATTCAAAATAAAGTTAGAGTCGACAATGAATATATATATAATCACTTTATTTGATTCATCGCCATATTTATTGAAAGCAACTAAAATGTAATTTTCAAAAGATGTAGAAACTATTTTTCATCGATTATACTGCTAAAATCTTGTGTTTTCCATTCCAAGCAATTTTTGTCAAGGAAGAAGATATAGCGTCGTACACTATCCGAGCTGTTGATGATCCAAGGACCTTGAATAAGATCCTTCACATTGTCCCTCCTGCTAATGTAGTGTCCTTCAACGAGCTCGTTTCACTGTGGGAAAGTAAGATTGGAAAGACCCTTGAGAAAACGTATATACTGGAGGAACAACTTCTCAAGAACATCCATGGTAAGTCCGAACCATTCTACTATTTTATTTAATATATGTTTGTTAAGTATTTATAAATTACTTATAAACCTTCAAAAAAAAAAATTCAAATAAATTTTTAACCACACATTTTATGGAATTCATTAGTACTCATTATCAACCACTTGTTTCTATCTACAAACCCATTTATGAACACTTCCCAAACAAGCACTTAGTTGAATGGGGTTCTAAAACCTTGTTAGAATCACTGCTACACCTTGTGATGGGCCTAGACGGTGGTGGATTGGGCTTGGCTCAGCCTGCCATGAAAACCGAGCTGGCCCAAACCTGTAAGTGGACAACTCAAGGCTTGCTTGACTTCTCTACCTTCAACTTATCTCCCTTCCCCATGATAAAATAAATATGCTGATCATTTAAATAAAAATAGAATGATGTTATTTGTACATAAGCAATTACATAATAATTTACATCTGATCCAATGACATCTCACCACATCATAACCATTATGTAAATCTATTATATACATGTAGCACATCGGATAAAAATAATACATTTTGTACTCTCTTTATGTTTTTTTTTAGTAAATTTATTTTGTCACGCAGATTCTCCAATGCCATTTAAAATACTCCTGGCCATTTGCCATGCTATCTTTGTGAATGGATTGACTTTGAGCATTGACACATCTACTGGGGTCGAAGCTTCTGAAATCTATCCAGAGGTGAAATACACTACTGTGGATGAATATCTGAACCACTTCATTTAAAATCTTAAATATGTAATAATGTATGTGGTGTTTATTAACAATAATAACTTGCTTGAATTGTGTTATTATTAAAATGTGGTACTATATTGTTTGTTTTGTTCCTACTTGCTCGCAATACGTTTCTCAACCGATTCGTGATGTCGTAAGTTGAGTATAGGGCCGTCTTCTTAACAAAAGGTTGAGTTTTTCAAAGGTAAAGTGGATGAGATTTGTCTATTAGGGACTAACTTTCTACAAATTCAAAATGCTGGAGACGGTGTTGCCGAAATGAAAAAGACAGAAAAAAATAGATTGAATACTAGTGCAATTTTTCCAAATATATAGGAGACGGAAATTGCAATATATATATATATGAAAATGAGCCAGACATACGCTTATTCTCCTCATTATTACTTGTCTTTCCACAACAATTGTAGCCCTTTGAATTATCTTTCACGCACTTTGAATCACTTCAATTGGATATCGAGAAAGAAAGTTATGACAAAATTTGCGAGCCAACCCGATTGATCATCCCTTTCAATTTTCAAACTATGCTTGACAAGGCCATTAAACCCGTCAAAGTAAAATCGAAGAGCTCGACCAGCCTATCGAGCAGCTTTGCTTCCTATGGTATCAAAAACCCTTAGACAAGAATTGTCATACTTCAATTGCTTCAACAAATAATAGTGTTATTACGTAATTTTAATATTCTTTACCTTCTAAGTTGTTCGACGTATTTCATAAACACACTTCTCATAAATGAGAATTCATTTTTTTTTTTGTCATTTACGTCTTCTTTTATACATATATTTAAAAGTTAACAAAATAAATAAATAAATAAATCAAATATGAAACAACGGACTGGCTTTTATGTATTTTCTATTTTGCAAGTTCATTGAGGACCGGTCTATGGGCTAAAACAAATTTTAGAAATTTCCCACCAAGCACATAGAGAGCACGTTGATGCGATTAGGAGAAGAATTGAGAAATTTGATTGGATTGAAGGGAGAGTTTGGGTCTTTTCCATGGTGAGGGCATTTTGGACATTTGATATTATTTGTTTATTGTATTTTGTAATTGAAGGTTATTTGACAAATAAATATTGGAAGAAGGTTATTTAATGAAATACATTATTTGACTGAACTATTTAACAAACCCTCCAATTATTTTTGATGAGTTTTGTTACACAAACATAATACTTGACATAGGGGATGACACAACACACACATGGGGAAGTCGACATTATTTAATTCAAGTCGGGACTCACATGCAATGTGAGTGGTCGGTTAACCCGTATGTGAAGCATTATCTTCATTTAGCTTAATTATTTTTTGATTATGATAAGTGTGGCCATCCATCCTTAATTATTTTCTTTGAAGTCGTCATTTCAAAGAATTATAGGCTCCAAAAGTCTTCAAATATAAAGTAAAATATACAATCTGAATCATACATATATTTCTTGACCATGTTTTGTATCTAGACGGATTGAAGTACTTGTTCAAAGAATAACAAAAATTCATAGATAACGCCTATTGACTAAAGTCATTTTTTTTTAGCCGTCACTTTCTTCTGTTAATAATTTCAAGCCATGGAAAATGGGACATTTAAACAACTTTAAGAAAGGATCATATGACTTGAATTTTCTGTTCAAGGATTGAATTAGTACATTATTAACCAAAATAAAGTGAACGAGTACAGCTTTAAACTTGAATTTTAGTCTATTAGTCCATCTATACTTGGGCATTGTTCTTCACTACTTTTTCCCAGAAATAAAATTCTAAGATGGCAGAGAAAAGCAAGATTCTGATAATTGGAGCAACTGGTTACATCGGAAAATTCATTGTGGAGGCAAGTTCAAAACATGGACATCCAACCTTTGTTTTGGTTAGAGAAACCACAGCTTCAGATCCTAAAAAATCAGAAATCATACAGAATTTCAAGAACTTGGGTGTTTCATTAGTATATGTAAGTACTTATTAATTCGAATGGCTTTGTTATAGTTTTTCATACAGAATGTTAATCTTTTTATGCTCTTTGTTCTTGATGAAATTACAGGGGGATATCTATAATCACGAAAGCTTAGTCAACGCGATCAAACAAGTCGATGTGGTGATATCTGCTGTTGGAGCAACTGCAATTGCTGATCAGGTCAAGATTATTGCAGCCATCAAAGAAGTTGGTACTATCAAGGCAAGTAATTGTAATTTTTCGATCCGTTAAGGGATAAAATCCAACATCGAATAATGGTGAAAACATAGACCAACTTATAAGATTTTAGACAACTCCTTTTAATACGATTTACTACAAGTCTCGTAATTTACTGTTATCGAAATGTAAAAAAGGTTGGTTTTTCAGAGATTTCTGCCTTCAGAATTTGGAGGCGACGTGGATAGCATGACGGCAGTCGAGCCAGCAGCAAGCCTGATGGTAGAGAAAGTTAAAGTCCGAAGGATCGTCGAATCAGAAGGAATCCCTTACACTTATGTAGTTTCTAATGGCTTTGCTGGGTACTTCTTGCGTACATTAGGACAGTTAGATAACTTAGATGCCACTGCTCCTCCCAGAGAAAAAGTTGCCATTTTAGGGGAAGGGAATCTTAAAGGTAATCCATTATACTTGGCATTTAACTCTTCAAAATAAATTTAGAGTCGCCCAAATGATTTTTTTATTCGATTCATCGCTATTTCTACTGAAAGCAACTAAAATGTAATTTTCAAATTTTTTTTTATCACTTTATTCGATTCATCGCTATATCTACTGAAAGCAACTAAAATGTAATTTTCAAAAGATGCAGAAACAAATTTTAATCGATTATACGACTAAAATCTAGTGTTTTCCATTCCAAGCAAGTTTTGTCAAGGAAGAAGATATAGCGACGTATACTATCCAAGCTGTTGATGATCCAAGGACCTTGAATAAGATCCTTCACATTATCCCTCCAGCTAATGTATTGTCCTTTGACGAGCTCGTTTCACTGTGGGAAAGTAAGATTGGAAAGACCCTTGAGAAAACGTATATACAAGAGGAACGGCTTCTCCAAAACATCCATGGTAAGTCGGAACCATTCTATTATTTTATTTAATGTATGTTTGATAAGCGTTTATAAATTATTTATAAACCGTAAAAAAAAAAAATCAAATAAATTTTTAGCCACACATTTTATGAGATTTATTAGTACTCATTGTGAACCACTTGTTTCTATCTACAAACCCATTTATGAACACTTCCCAAACAAGCACTTAGTTGAATGGGGCAATTCTAAAACCTTGTGAGAATTACTGCTACACCTTGTGATGGGCCTAGACGATGGTGGATTGGGCTTGGCTCAGCCTGCCATGATAACCGAGCTGGCCCAATCGTTTGCAACTAGGTCAGTCTAACCTGATTGACTTCTCTACCTTCAACTTGTTTCCCTTCCCCATGATAAAATAAATATGCTGATCATCTAGATAAAAATAGAATGATACTACTTGTATATAAACAGTTATATAATAGTTTACATATGAAGTTCTAACCCAATCATTTGTATGTAAACCATTATGTAAATCTATTATATACATGTAGCACGACCGATAAAAATAATACATTTCACACTCTCTTAATGTTTAATTTTTTATTATTTTTTGGTAAAATAATTTTGTTGTGCAGATTCTCCAATGCCATTTAAACTACTCCTGGCCATTTTCCACGCTATCTTTGTGAATGGAATGACTTTGAGCATTGACACTTCTTCTGGGGCCGAGGCTTCTGAGATCTATCCAGAGGTGAAATATACAACTGTGGATGAATATCTAAATCACTTCATTTAAAATCCTGAATTTAAATATATTCTCATTATTACTTGTCTTTCCACAACAATTGTAGCTATTTGAGTTATCTTTCATGCACTTTGAATCACCTCAATTGAATATCGAGAAAGAAAGTTACGATCAACATACTGACGATAGACAAAAATTTCGACCAACCCGAATGATCATCCCTTTCAATTTTCAAACTATGCTTGACAGGGCCATTAAACCTGTCAAACAAAGTAAAATCGATGAGCTCGACTAGCCTATTGAGCAGCTTTGCTTCCTATGGTATCAAAAACCCTTCAACAAGAATTGTCATACTTCAATGGCTTCAACAAATAATAGTGAGAATTCATATTAAAATTTACATAATTTTAATATTCTTTACATTCTAAGTTGTTCGATGTATTTCATAAACACGCTTATCATAAACGAGAATTCATTTTTTTGGTCATTTACGTCTTCTTTTATACATATATTTAAAAATTAAAAAAAAAAAATAAATCAAATATGAAATAACGGACTAGCTTTTATGTATTTTACAAGTTCATTGAGGACCGGTCTATGGGCTAAAACAAATTTTAGAAATTTCAAAAATCAGGTCATAAGTAACAAGCTTTCATTATTAACAAACTTGATGAAATATTTCAAAAATCAGGTCATAAGTAATTTTTTAATAATTTTTTTTGTTTTTGTTTTTATTATACACTCACTATGATTTAATTAAAGGAAACTGAAAGCGATAATGCATTAAATTTGTCTAAATCATTGTCACTTCCTAAAATACCCTGATTCTGTCATATTTTAACCCAATCTCATCTCTTCTCATAAAACCTCATCTACGATCACCTCCCACAGCTCGATCCACATCAATATTATAGAATTACAGCTACAATTAAATTAATCACATTTTCGTCATCATCAAAATTTCCGGGTTGAAGTCACAACTTAGTGAGTATGTATTATATTTCAATTCTAGAGATTTATTGCATGTGTAATATTTGCTGAAAATTATCAAGTGCAATATTGTGTATTGTTTCGAATTTTGCTTCTTAGTTGAAGACAATAGAAATAATGCTATTCCGAAAACTGATATCGAATAGGTAAATGATGTACTGTAATCTCAGCATTTTAGATTTTATCGTAGTTGATAAGAATTGGTCACAAATTCAAAATAGCTATGGTCACATATAGATTTTTATTCAAAATAATTATAGTCAAATTCTGGTGAATTATTTGTGACCTCAGTTTTCTCATAATTTTGAACTTAAAATGTACATGTCACAAAGTTACATATTGGGTATTGTCGATGTGTTGTTAATGCGATTTGAATATGTTAGATTGTAATCTTATTTTGCAGTTATTGAGAATATTTTCGATTTTATCGAATTTCATAAGAATTTGTAGGCCTACCGAGAAGAGAAAGAAGTCAACTTGTGAGCGAAAATAGAATGTGAAGTGTGGAAGATACGATAAATATGATCAAAATCAAAGAATGTACAACAACTTGACACTAAACCAAACACAATGGAAGGATAAACAAATAAAATATAAAAACTATTGTATATAGTAAATCATTTTCTGTAATAGTTTTTAGAAACAGTTATTGCATAATTTCTTTACTTCAAATTTGTGTTTGAGAAATAGTTTTTAGAGACAGTTATTGCATATTTTCTTTGTTATGTATCAATCACAAAGAAATAATTTCTTGTAAATTGTTGTTTCAGTTTTTTTTTAAAGGAGTGTGATCTCATGTCACCGATATTGTTGTTGTTTCTCACCTATTGGATGCATTTTTCTGTGTTGTTTGTGACTATATATGTGTTAATAGTGACCGTTTACAACAATGTCTATGTTAATTGTTACTTTTTGTGCTGAAGTATATTTATGTGTGATTGTTTGTGACTAGATACGTGTTAAATGAAAACTTGTATTTCACAAGTTCTTAACAGGAATCTGTTCGTGATTAGATCATAAATTTTTAACAGAAGTATGTATTTTATAAAATGTCTGAATGAATGTTACCTATTCAATGCATTTTCTTTGCTGTTTGTGACCTGTAATGTGTGTCCTATGATATTAATATATTGCGCCATTTATGTTTCTTGTGCACGTTACCTATTAGTTTGTGCAACATTACCTGTTACATGGAACAATTTTTTCTGCATGTGATCTATCTGTAACATATATATTTACATGTATATGGCCTATATATTTATGTGATTGTGAACTGCTACCAATGCAGAATGTGACATGTGACTTTATATGTGACCAATTACATGTAAAATGTGACCCGTGAACTCGGAGATGTAACCAAATATATGTCTAGTTGTGACCTATCATCAATGCATTGGAACATGTGACGTGTGACTTATGACTATGACTAATTATATGTGAACAGTGACTTGTGATTTGGGAGCGATGACCTAGGAATTGTAACCGGATATATATCTTGAAATATATATATATAGTTGTGACATGTCATCAATGCAGAATTTGATCTATGACATATGACTTGTAACCAACTTCATGTAACTTGTGTCCTAGGAGCAACACATGTCATGGAACATTGATCTGGGACTATAACAAGATATATACATCTTGTTGTGACATGTCATCAATGAAGAACGTGAATTGTGACCTGTGACATATGACCCATGGCCAAATTACATGTGGCCTATGACTTGTGGTGGATAACGTTTTCCAGCAACATGAAGAAGCTAAATGACCTGATTAAATGATATGAATAAATCTCATATGACTTGCTTAAGTGAAAAGAACTTCACATCTAAAAAATTTAACCAGCAACATGATAAAACTAAAGGAACTTAAATAAATCCATATCTATACACGTTGGATGTTTTGTCCACATAATAAATCAACTATCTATTTGTCAAGCTAATAAATTTTGGAAAAAAATGAATACATCAATCATTCAATTCCCATCTTTTTTCCTCACTTTGTGGTTTACTTGACCGTCGATGTGTAAACAGCCATACTCGCTCTACTGGTATCAAATGACATCGGCTTCTTTGCAAATTCATTGTGGAGTAAGTATTCAACGTAATCATGAAGACACCGTAATCATGGTTGAAGAGCATTACAAAATAATTTATTAGGAATAAATAGAATATTAAATCTTGTGTTTGTAATTAACAAATCAGGCCACAAACTTACCCATTTTGTTGATGAGGAATGTCACTAACAATGTTTGTCTTCAATTTCGTAGGATTGTCATCACGATAATGACACAATTCTAGATAGTTACGCAAATATCACATCCCTGAACCATTAGGAAAAATTATATGAGCTCATTCCAGATCTTAAAAAATAAAATACAAAGTTAAGGATGTGATAAATATTAAAGAGAAAGTTGCAGCAACAGTCCTTAAACTTTTTAATTTTTGTATACTTTACCATAACCTTTAATTTGTGCCAATAAAGGTGCCTAACCTTTCAAAAATATACAGTTGGAGTCCAAATGGAACCATCAATTTGATCGTTAGTTGACCAATAGTCAAAAGATTGATCGAATCTTGACTAATTTTAAAAGGTTAAACTAGTAATTTTATATTTTATATAATAAAACAATTAAAATAAAATAATTAAATAAAAAATTTAAAAACCAAAACCCCGTCATCTTCCCCACCCCCAATCCCAAAACCAAACCCTGAAACTGCTCCACCATTAGCACAATGTCCCACTACCAACTTGTAATCAAATTCAACACTTTAAATAGAACAAATAATTCCTAAATTTCGAGTACAAGCAATGGTCACCCCACATGGTAACCCCAATCCTAAAGTCACCCCACATGATGACGGGATAATGCTGAAATTTAAATTGGGATAAACTAATATACCATAGTGGACTAATGAATCCGAAAATAATGAAAGACGCGAATTTATCACTTTAGGGTCACTACTATTCACCATCAATTGCAGCAATCAATCAACTACTATCGAATTCCGAATGCGCGAAGAACAAAATAGTCCAAATCTCTCCGTATGACATCAAAAGGAAAACTAACACCACAATGTTAGAAAATATGTCAGCAACAAACTGTCTGAAAAGACATATGCCAGAAGATGTCTCTCGCGTCCTTATTCACCACCAACAGCCTTTGCGCGAGGGCTTCACGCTACTTCGCAAGCACCGCTGGATAGTATCATGCATTGGACACCCTGGTTCGCCTCCACCTGCACGTTACGCTGGTGATCTCCATTTCACAAAATTCCTTTTGGATTGGCTGAAAATCACAAAAACAGACTTGGTTTTTGGTTAGTTTTTTGAGTCAAATCCACCAACTTAAAGCTCTGATACCAATTGTCACAGAAGCTCGCTCGAAGGATCGTCAAATTGGTGGTTTTTGAGCTCAGTTTCACGTTATCTTTCTCTAAGAAACAACCAATCGAAATCACTCAACCCACAACCAATATATTCACTTCAGTTGCTTCTCAATCTCACCCACAAAGAATAAGATAATGGTAATGATTTGCAAGCCACAAAGGCACGACAAATACAGTAGAGGAAGACACAAAGTGGAGGCCAAATACACAAAAAAAAAGCCACTGGTTTTTCCTCTCCCTAAGGCAGCCACGTTTTCTCTCAATTTCATACACAAATCACACACTAACGGCATGTGTAGAAAGAACATATATATAGGGTTATATTAGACTTTAGTTGGACTAATAATAAGGTTATATGGGCCAAGATTCAAAGTAATATATATATATAACTTTTTGGATATACAGAAATGATCTAATGAGCACCGGTGCTCATCTTATCCTAAGCACCAATGAAATGGTACATTAATTCATAGGTGGATTGGAACTCACAAATATATAGAATGAACAAAAGCATAAAAAGGGNGTTTGGAAAATATAAATTACATTTTCGATTGCCGATATGATTCTCATGCTTGCTAATTCCTATCAGGTTGGACTGTTATGCTCTTTGTTCATTTGTGGCACTTGAAATGTAGAATGTCTTTCTATTCATCTTATTCAGTTGTATTCCACAATGCTTTACTATTTAAATCTGTGTGAGTCCTTCTCTATGACTTTCTCTCGCACAGATACTAATGCCACAGCTGCAAGCACCTAAATTAATGGATGATTTTCTCCATCATGGCATCAAGACACCTAATAGAGTCAGTAAAGAGGCTCTGGACAATTTTATAAGGATTAGTAGACAATTGCTCACTGTATTTGTTCCCTACAATTATTTATAAGAAGTTAAAATATGGCGAAATGATGCCTACAATTAAGTTGAAAGATAAGTCCCTTTATATTCTATTTGAATAATATAGTTGTTTGGTTTGGAAAAAAAATGCTTCACCTCATGCTTCTTGTAAATATATAGAACCTTAAGATACTATAATTTGAGGTAGTATAGTAAATTCTAACATACATGGGATGTTGAATCTGACATTTTTTATTTTTTATTAGATTGAACATATTAACCTTATTGCAGGATACAATCTTTTGTTTTAGCTTCATCCATGTTTATGATTTTTCATTTTACTACTTTGATTCAGTTGAACTTCTTCAAGTCAGTTTACTTTCTTATTGCAATTTCAGTTATTCAGAGATGAATGGTTGAAAATCCGTTCGAGTAAACATTGAGTTGATGATATAATTCACGAGAGTCCAACATATTTAACGTACTAACATTATCTTCAAAATAATTCAGTCCGTGCACGGGCAAGTGACTAGTTTTTCAAGAGAAAGCTAAATGATATAGTTACCAATATATTAGGTAACGTAGAGTAGAAAATACTTTTTCTTTTAAAAAATAGGGACAATTCTTTAAAAAAAAAAGATATGAAAAATCTCACAATGTTCTTGTCTACTATTATATACCAAATATGTATTGCACATTTTAATCATATTAAGTGAAATTAAATCAGTCTCGTGTTTGAAGGCTAAAAATATCATATAAACTATAATATTCAATTTGAATCTGTAACTGGTGACGATAGAGGAAATAACAGATTAAAACAACATCTTTACAATATGATTATACATATGAATACACTCAGAAATGGAGAAATGAACAATAATACAAGGCTGTAAATTTACCAATAATATTTTCATCAATGAAAACCGTGGCACACTACGTGAAACACATTATTGAGTAATCCCGTTGGTTTCAGGAACTCTCGTCTTCCCTTTTCCACGCGCCCCCCCTAAATCCGGCATTCTCAACTGGGAAGGAATCTAACTCTGGACACCAACTTACATTCAGTATTTTCAGGGATGGCATAACTCGACTAACCATGGACCAGTCCGCATTCAAGTCTGATAAAGCTTCACACTCCAACCCCTCGATTTTCCAAACTGTATTTTCAACACCCCAAAAGGAATCGTGCATTTTTTCAAGATTTCCAGAAATCATGGAAAGATATCGCAACATGGGAAGTGAAACTGGGTTGAGCCAGACAGGACTTATTTTCCCGGGATAGAAACGGAGATTCAGCTTGTGGAGTTGTTCGGGAGGGGAGAGTTTATCTAGTTTGGAGACTAGACCAACATCATGACAATCAAAACAACTTATTGTTAAAAAAAGCAGTTCATGGAGATTTAGTAATGCACTGACCTCATCATCTCCAATTTCATCACCATGAGACAGATGCAAACTCAGTCTTCTTAATCGAATCAAGCTTCTCAGTTCACCAATCCGACAACCCCTTGACTCGCTTAATTTACAAGGCTTAAATCCAAGTAATACTTGAAGATTCGTAAGCCTGCCAAGTCCTTGGGGTAGGTATTCAAGTGACCCACAATTACTCACATCCAAGACAGCAAGTTGTTCATAGTTCAGAATACAACATGGGAGCCTTTTCAGATTCTGGCAATAACTTGCATCAAATATCGTGAGCTTTTGAAGCTTTTCCAACGAATTTGGAACTAGGACTAGTGGATGAGTATTGCCAAGGCCAAGATACGTTAAGTGCTCGAGAGATCCAATCTCGTCCAACAACTTTGAAAGAGGGGCATCAAAGATTGATTTGGAAAGATCCAATATGTGCAGGCGTTGACAATGGCAAAATTTACCCACAACATATGAGGGGATTCGGTTTACTTCACCACTCTTGGTTGTAGTAAGCAATGCTCGCAATTTTCTGTTGGCTGCTAAGTGCTTCACGTTCATATCACTTGTAATGCCCAAATGGCGAGAGTTTCCATCCAATGGGATTGAAAATGCATCATCTTTCGCAATTCTTAAGACCAAGTCACGGACCATATCATGAATTTTACAAGTATATACTTCATTGTCGTAAGCTTTATCAACCACCTCTACTAAACATCTATTTGTTAATTCCGAAAAGCAGTCTTCTCCAACTTCGGTCGATAAACGACCAGTCCTCAATGGGATGAAATATTCCGCAATCCACCAATGGATCAGTTGATCCTTCGCTATCTCACAATCCTCTGGAAAGAGTGAGAAACAGAGGAAACATGACTTCAGATAAGGTGGGAGTTCATCATAACTCAACTGCAATGAAGCCATTACCGAGTTATCATTTTCTGATAACTCTTCACGAAAATGCGTCAAGATTCGTTTCCACTCATGATTATGAGGTGGCTTACACAACATTATTCCTCCAACAGCTTTGATAGCTAAAGGAAGGCCTTTACATTTCTTAACAATCTCTTTCCCCGTGACCTCTAGCTCTTCGTAAACACATTCACCTCCAGTAGCAGCAAATGCTACCTTACGAAAAAGTAACCAACTATTTTCTTCACTGAGGAATTTGGGCACATGAATCCTAGCTTCATATACTCCCATCTTACGAGCAACCGTCTCGTTTCTTGTGGTAATTATAATACAACTTCCATTTCCCTTTGGTAACCCCCCACTTATTCTGAGCCACCAAGAATTATCTTCATCCCACACATCATCCATCACTATCAAGTACCGTTTTCCTAAAAGGTACTGGTTTATTTTCTTTAACAATTCACTTTCATCATCCCCCAAGCATGGATCTCCCAAGCTCCTCAATATACTCCTCATGATTTTTTCTTCCGTAAATGTTTGAGAAACAGAAACCCATATCCTTCTTTCAAAGTGATCTTCGACTCTTCTATCATTGAAGACTTTCTGTGCAAGAGTTGTCTTGCCCAGTCCTCCCATACCAACAATTCCAATGTAAAGTATACCATCACTTCCTTCGATTAACCAGTCCTTCATCTTCTCTGTATCACCTTCTAAGCCAACCACTTGTGTATGGTCATATGCAGGTGAACTCCATCTAGACATTAGATGATTGTGTGCCTCCATCGAATTTGTTGGATTCAAAATTGGCACTCCAAGAAAAGATGAAATGTTCTGCTTTATCTCTGCGATTTTATCGTTGATTTCACTGAGGCGCTTCCCAGTTTGGTGTTGAAATGAAAGTTTTGAAGGATGCAACCACATTGCATATTTAGCACTCCCATTGCCATTATCAGACTGACTTTGACAATCGACAAGTATATCTTCAGCTTCATAAATTAGTTCTCGCAAGCAGGCCATGATACTCCGGAGTGTCTTATGCTCACTTTTCCTCTTGAGTCTTTCCGCATCTTTGAGGAAGCTCTGCATGAGCAGTAGATGCTCCTTTAGTCTTTCAAAATGCTCCCTATACTTTGTCACAAACTGGCTCTCCTCTGTGAGAGTGTTAAGAAGTTTCTCCAAGAAAGCGCTAACCACAGCATCAACCATTATTTGCTTTGCTCTGCACAGTTTTTCAGAATCGTCATAAGTCGAATAATAGAATAAAATAATCAGGGGCGTTGCCACAGATGGATGGCCAAGAGGGTCCACAGCCCCCATACAATTTCTCAAGAAATTCTTGTCAAACTTATGAGACAAGAGTGGATCACAAATAAAATGCCATTAGTGGAGGTGCCCCCCCCCCCAAACCCAACAAAAAGAAAAACAAATCATCTCAGGAGCATCAGCTACCTTTGAGAATTTGTGTAACTAATCAGTCTTTTGGCCTTGATTGTATAAACTGTATGTGGTAGGTAGTCTGGATATTATTAGTTTTTCTGAAAGTTTATTACATAATTGCTTCATCCTGTTAAAAATTACTTTAACAAGGAGTCAAAAAGAAAAAATAATCAAACTCGAAGATAATACTTTTGTTTATCCTAGACCAGGTTTGGTTTCCACACAAAGTTTTCCAATCCATGATTCGATCGAATGGTGAATTATTTGATCCCTTTAGAAAGTATTAAGTTACTAATCATAGTCTTGACCGAATCCCACTACAAAATACTCATATACACAAATCATTTATTTTCCCACTAAATAATACAATTGGATGAAACGAACAGATATACTGAAAAAACAGGCGTTAGATATTGCATGGGGGCAAATCTTCGTGCCCGAAAAGGGTTATAATGTTGCAAAAAAATACCAATCAAGAAAAGAACTAAATCCCACGAAGTAGACTAACTCATGGTTTTTCTGAAAGCTTATTGCATAATTGCTTCGTCCTACTGAAAATTCCTTAAAACATGGAGTAAAAAGGAAAAATTAATCAAGCACAAAGATGACCTATATGTTTATCCTAAAATAGATTTTCTTTCCAAACAAAGTTTTTCAGTCTATGATTTGATCCTTCAATGAACTATTGATCCCTTTTAGAATTGTAAATTTCCGAATCTTGTTCTTGACTTAAGCCCACTACAAAATATTCATCAACAAAGGAAATAAATCCTACTAAGAAAATTAATAATACACATTAAAATAGGAAATAGAGCATGCTTTTAAGCTTAGTAAACATGCTATAAATCCCCCAAAGTAAATTAAACATCACTACAAAATTCACAGACCATTAATTGTGCAACTAAATAATGCAAAATTGGATGAAACAGACAGATACTAAACAAATAGGCAGAACCCAGAAAAATCAAGACTTACAGCTCAACAAAATGCTCTTCAAAATTCTGGGACTTCAAGGTCAAATAGCAGAGGTTTTTTATCGATAAAAAAAATAAAGAAATAACATTAACAAATTCTTGTTCAGCCAAGAAATTAAAGACTCGGGGGACACTGGGCAAACACGGTTTGAGGAAGCTTCCGACTCTCTTCATAGAAGATTGATTTTATCTAAGTCAACGTCGTGGCATCTCTTTGTCATCATGGTGAACCGGTCTTTTACCACGAGAAAAATGCTAGATGTACATCAAGATCTACATCCCCTCACATGGGGGGTTCACTCGAATAAAATATTCGAGTGGACCCCTTACCCATGTGAGGGGGTGTACAGCGTGATGTATACCTCGATGTACCACTAGCATGACTCTTACCACGAAGGTCATAGACCCATCTTTGTTTATTAAATATATTTAAATAAATAAAAATTATTTAATCCCCACTTGTAACTTTACAAAGAGAAAATTGAAGAGCCATTCATTTTGTTCCTCATCGACCCAAACCCGGATCGATGAGGATTTATCCTTGCCGACCCAGACATGGATCGATCGGAGAGGAACAAGCCTTCATTGACTTGGGGTAGGGCCGGGCCGGGCCTGTGAGGAAAAAAATCATCTCCGATCTATGTTGGTTCGGTGAGGATTTGTTCCTCACCGATTGTGCAGTGAGATATCCTTTCTAGAAAAAAAAAATCGAAATTAATTATTTATATCTACTTAATGGTAATATAATTGTTTATTTTAGTTTTCTATATGTTATGTAATGTTCATTGTTTTCTAATATAAGTTACTAAAATTTGCAAGTTTTTGCGAGATTGAGAATGCTCTTTACATATTGTAATATTAGGAATATGAAGAAGGTCATAGTTGTCCTAGATCAACAACACAAACATTGTTGTGCCAATCATGCATGTGGGAACTTTGTCATAAAAGGTAGTACAATTTTCCATATTCGAGTTTGCCCTCGTTACAGTGAGAAGTTATGCCTAATATTCATCGGAAAGAAAAAAAAAACCTACTTGACGAATATCTTGGAGGGAAGTTAATATTATGCCATCACAGTTGGAAACTAATATTCAAGTTTGCCCTCGTTTCAAATAGGGGTTTTCTACGATTTCCAACATGTAGGAGGGTATATCGCAAATGAAAATGTTTTTAGGAGATTTTCTGCTATTAATTCTTCATAGAAATCATTCAAAGAATAGTGGTATATCTCTATCTCATATCGGACATTACAATGGTTGTTATAACATGTCATCTATCCTATTGTCTTTCTCAAGAACAATAAAAATCACAAATCAATCAAATCAGTGATCAAGTAATTGAAAATCATTAAACACAATAACAATTGTTACGTGCCATCTGAGGCCCTCCACCTCGTCTATCCACCTTGTCCGCCACGTGTTAGCCGAGCTGATCTGGAGTACCACGTGGCAGACGAACTGAATTACTATCACTTCCACATAGTGGAAGCACCGAATTCATCCGTCAGTCACAGCGGATGCAAAAGCCCCGTACTCCATACTCTACACATCTCACAATCCGCCTCGCCACCCCACTATCCAAATCTTTTCAAAGATCTACAAAGGCAAGTTCTTGACTGATTGATGGGACGTGAGGTAGGCTACAAACGGTCAATTCAGTTGATATGTCAGAAACCATTTAATATCCACCAACCTAATGACTGATAGATTGACATCTATGAAAAGATGGATCACCCGGGATCTGAAGCCACGTGTCCCACCATCTAACGGTTCACCTATTCCCTTTCCTAGTATAAATACCCCCATACTGGTAGAGTAACGGGTACCCATTTTTTCAAGTTTTACATCATCATCTTCAACTCTAAAGAAACCTTTCAACATATATTTACTCGTCCCGGTGACTACTTCACCGTCGGGCACCACTTTCCAGTTAATTGAGACAGTGACTTCACCGTTGGAGTGCTGCGGCCCCTCCACCCCCATCAGGAAAGGCCATAAGTGACTTACGGTGTGCTACCGTGTGCAAGGAGGAGCTTACGTGGAGTTTCGTTCTGTTGTCCACGTGTCGAAACCATTTTTCAAGGTCAACAGATCTACGCCGTCTGTGGGAAATCGACTATAACCACGAGAATCCCCTTGAAAGAAAAAAATTATTGGAATATTTGATTGATATTCCCTCCTTGAATAAGGAATTTGTTCTTGAAAAAGAACAAGCTCTGAGATCCCACCATTTTAGAAGAGGATTGGCAACCCCAAGCTAATGAGTTCAAGCGACGAAGAAGTAAACCAAGGAGAGTAAGAGAGGTCTCTAAAGAAGAGACCATTTGGAATAATGTCAAGCACAAAGGCTACATCACCGATATCGTAGGGAAGGGAGGACCGCTGCGGGCTAACTACCGAAGTGGCTCGTATGGCCACTAACATGAGGAATATCGCAGACCAAAACGAAGCCATGCAGGAAATCCTCATGCAGGTACAAAATCAGGGCGGCTTCCAAGCCCGCCAAAATCCTCCACAATCAGTCCGAAGGACCGAAGCAGTATCAAGTCAGAGAACTTACTCAAGCCAACAACGAGAAGTTCCCATTGAGAGGAAAGTGGGAGTGGATACCTCATACACTGTCCCTCTATCTAAAAATGACCGAGATGAAGTAGACAACTTCCCTCCAGAATATGAAGAACGGCCTCAAAGGTCAACTAGTGTGTTTGATCGAATCGAGCGGATGCCTAGGAATAGGGATCAATCTGCCCATCAAACAGCTCACCCACAAGAGCGTGCTCAAAGCTAGGAAATTCAGGCCCTCCACCTAGGAATAGACGGGAGAAGCGAAATCTAGTTGATTGGGGAAATCAAGGAGGAACTTCCCAACAACCACCTTGTCCTTTGACAGATGGTAACAATTCCTACGAGCCGTGCCAGTTATACGAGGTTGACGACGATGATGACAACCTCCCTTTCTCTAGGTAGCTTCGCAGTTTTCCTACGCCTCAAAACTTTGTTCCTCCCAAAATTTCCAAGTATAGGGAAAAGGAAACCCAGAGAAACACCTCAACAAGTACAAAACACAAATGAGCCTTCGAGGGGCCTCGCCTGCCCTGAAATGCAGGGCCTTCCACCTAACACTTAGTGGCTCAGCCGAGGTGTGGTATAGTAGGTTGGCACCTTTGAGCATCCGGAGCTGACCGGATCTCAAGAAGGCATTCCTAAACCAATACTTGTCGAAAAAGGAGGGATAAGCGCCAATCCAGTTCCTTCAGGACATGAGACAAGCTGCATGAGAGACCTTGAAGAGTTACCTCGCTTGCTTTACTGACGAGATAACCTATTGTAAGCAAGTCACAGAGAAAGAGGCCCTATCTGTCCTAAAGGGAGAACTGAATATGAATACCCTATTTTGGAAGGATGTTCGAAGCAACAACCCATCTACCTACGACGAACTGGTAGAGATGATGAAGGTCGAGATTGTCAATGAAGAAATGATTGATCATCGAAATAGGTCGGCACAAGGACTACCCCCTCCCCAAAGGCAGATCGACAGGGGGTCCACTTCGCAGATGGTCACCTAGCAGTGGACCCAGGTCGACATGTGGTGGCTCCGACCTCCAGACAAGCATTGGCCACCTCCACGTTGAATATCGTGCCAACGTTGGCCTATGAAAATGTTGGACCTAGCACCAGCAACCCAGCTAGGAATACTAGACAACCTTTGACCTCTAAAAATAGGGAAAGAGGCGGCAGGCTAGAGATAGGCCTCAGGAGAAGACGCGACCATACTGCACTTTTCATCGCTTCCATGGCCATGACACAAGTGAGTGCAGGGAAGCCAAAAGGCCAAGAAGCAATCCCTACAACACAAGGGAGAACTGTTACCAAGATAATACACCAGGGTGAAGCTCTCCAAGGAGAGGGGAAACGAGGCGTCACTCACCCTGAAACAACAGAAATAGTGACAGAGAAATTCCTTTAAGCGGACAACGCCCCAGGAGGGACATCGCCACCTCAAATGAGCAACAACCCATTCAAGAAACTGACACAATTATCGGAGGACCCCATGTGGGAGGTGAATCCAAGAACAATCAGAAGAATTACACCAGGGAAGCTAAAGATCCATCTATGTCCAGTTACATAGTAAGCCAGTCCAAAAGAGAAAGAGTCGTGGAACCCATTGCATTCACCCAGGAGGACTCATCTGGTGTGCACTATCCACACTGCGACACGCTGGTGGTAAGAGCTATGGTGGCCCACAACGGGCTGAAGCACATGTTAGTGGACAATGGAAGCTCTGTCAACATCCTATTCAGAACGAATTTTGACAAAATGGCAGTAGACCATGAGCTCATCCCCATGACTTCGCCCCTATACAGATTTACTGGAGATAGCATTATTCCTAGAGAAAAGATTACCCTGGTTGTGGAAATAGAAGCCACACCCCAAGTGGCGCATCACTTCATGGAATTCTTGGTTGTTGACCATCGATTCGCATACTGTGGGGTGTTGGGAAGATCGGCCCTAAAAGAATTATAGGCAGTCACTTCCACACATCACCTATGCATGAAATTCCCTACTGAACGAGGAATAGCCACTATCTGAGGTGATTAGATGGGATCGAGGGAATGCTACCTCAATTCTTTGAGAAATGTTGAGCAGCGATGAGTGAACATGGTCCTCCTTGATGTTGAAATGGTCGAAGCCCTTGAAGAAGGGGAAGATGTCGAAATGGCAGAGGGTTTTTTGGATAACCGACTTGAGAAGGCCACCTTGGATGAGCTAGATCCTCGTATCATCGAATTTGAATCGCAGGCCACTCCGATGGAAGAGCTGGAAAGCTCTCCAGTAGACCCCTAAGATGTCTCCAAAGTCCTGTAGGTGGGAAAGGAGTTGGAAGAAGAATTGAAAAATTTCCTCCGCAAGAACTCAGAAGTCTTTGCTTGGAAACACAAGGACATGATTGGAATAGACCCAAAGGTCAGTTGCCATCATTTACAGATTGACCCAAGCCAAATCCCACACATGTATAAGTGGAGAACCTTGAATACGGAGAGGTACGAGGCCCTAAAAGAAGAAGTTGAAAAACTAATCAGCAATGGCTTTATTAGGTAGGCGACTTACCCGAGAAGGATATCCAACCCCGTGCTGGTGAAGAAGCATAATTGCAAGTGGAGTGCGTGTATTGAC